GGGCGCTTGTGCTTGTGAGGATTTGGAGGGGTTGTTGATGCTCAGGGAATGCGACGCTGGTGGGCCGACAGGAACGATGCGCGATCCGAACTCTACGCCGATAGTTACGTCGTGGTGTGGTGAGAAGCGGCCTTCGCAGAGGCGGACTGTTAGCTGGGAGGCGTTAGCATGGAGGCCCTGGGTAACGGGGATGATGTCGCATACACTTGATTTACCACATCCTGAATCGCCTAACGATACGATCTTCGCTATGTAGTCCCACGGCTGCGCCATGGTGCTTTGTGACGCCGTGTGGCTGGTGTAGCAGTCGACCTGAGGTGCAGGCTTAGGGCGGTGGTCACAGCAAATCCAGTAGAGGTAGATGGGTATGTATAGGAAGACGGTATTTATTGTTCAGAATGTATGTAGAATAAAGTAGTTCGCAAGTCGAAGCTTTGGGTGTGTTTGACAGGAAGCCAGTTGGACGATAGTGAGTGAGATAGGTCAGGGTCCCGGCCATGCGGTCATAGCTCGGCAGCTGCTTGAGCCACAGTCGAAGGATGCGACCCATGGCAAACGTGAAAAGCATGTCGCAATTTACTTTGCGCAAGCTTCGGCTCCATGCATCTTGCTTTTCTCTGTAGCTTTGATTGATTGCCACTATGAAACATGAGGCTGACAAACATGAGATCGGAGTGCCTTGACTCGGGCGGCCACTACGAAGGCAAATTTACTTCGAAAAGAGCACGACTAGAAGAAGATAGAATTGTCTGCAAGCCCGTAGAGTCAAGTTTACCGAATGCTTTGCATGTGAGGTGGAGCAGTTCTGGGGGCTAGGGGATAGCGCGTGCCTTGCATGTTCACGAGGTACGTGAGCCCGACAATCGATAACCCGACGCGCTGGCTTGGCACGATGATGAGATGAGCGACCATCACTCCAGCGCACCCGGCCAGCCACTCAACTCACTCACCACCTAGGCGGGCTAGAGCTCCCTGCTGTCCTATTGCTACCGCCCTACCACCGTCATCTCTACCTTCTCCAGCTGGCCACTGCGCACTCTGCCGGCCCCCAGCTGCATGTCTCTTAGGCTGCGTCATCCGCGGCTGCCTCTTGTACTCCGGTACCCTTGCGCTCGACCGCCTCACGACCGCTGACCTCGCACCTGAGCCACCTTCGCTTCGGGACTTTGCTCGCGATAGATATACCTGGCCGCCATCGCCGAGCTCATTAGGCATATACACATCTATCGCGCACTATATCTATCATGTTCTCTGAATGTAAGTGGACCTGGTGCCTTATCGGGTACATGTGACAGATCCGCCGCCTGTGTCTTGAGCAGCTTATGGACTCGCGTGACTGACGTGCGTGCTCCCCAGATGCATCCAAGTTCCTCTCCCAGTCTCAGTCGCGGCTGTCACTGGGCCAGCCCGAGCCGACTTCAACCCGCAACGCCCCCGACAGGCAGCGCCCGTCCTCGCGCGCCTCCCAAGCTTACCTCCAGCGTCGCAACATGCCCAACCCATACAACTCGCAGGCCATGAGCCGCTTTGCCTTCGCTTCACGAACATCCAACGCGCCCGCGCCACTCTTCTACTCCGCCACCGATGACTTTCGCGAGGAGGACGACCATGCCGAGCACGACAGGGACCTAGCAGACCAATACGCGCTGCAACGCTCGCGGCGGCAGTTTGGCGCAAGTAATCTATCCGAGTCATCTGAGGTCGATGATGAACATGGCCAACGATCCGATCATACGATAGGTGCGGACAGGGACGAGAATGAAGCTCCCGGGTACGGTCTGGGGAGAGGGATTAAGAGCTCCTGGAAGGGCGACAAGCCAGCTCGCGGAAGATCGACCGTTATCAACAACCCAGAAGACGAGGAAAGAGAGTCAAGTGTGCCGCTCTCTGAGACTACAGATCGCAGCAGCAGGGGGAGAGGTCACCTCGTAGATGTGGAGCTTGATTCCACAGATCGGGGGAGTATAGAAGAGTTGGACCGAGACGAGCTCCTGGGTCACCAGGACGAACCACCGCCACCCTTCCAACAGTTTCGCAACATGCCGAGGCCGAAGCGCGGTCGCAGCCCACTACGAAACACCCTACCGATACCACAGGAAACAGACGAAGACACTCTGCTCGAACACCCGCGCCCAGTAAGTCCGGATCGCCAGACTGTCCCCGACGACGTACCAGAGAACCCGACATCAGCGCCACGACACAACTTCTTTTGGGCTGAGCTCTTCATAATCGTGCAGTGTGCCATCTTTGGCACATGGATCATCTCTTTTCTCCAAGAGTCGCCACCGAACAAGAAGAACCCACTGGGCGACACGATATATACTGTCCTGCATTCGTCGTTCCACCTCATTGGTGTGTACACACTGGTTTCGGTCATCGTCGGAGTCCTATGGCTATCGTTACTTCGGTCCTTCGCTCGGCCCTTGGTGCAATTAATGTTACTGGCGGTACCAGTGATATCGTTTTCCTTCTTTGTATACCCTTTCGCGTCAAGCTTCAAAGGGTCATGGCATGGCGATAGCGTACAAGACCGGCTGATGCGCTGGCTTTCGTTTGGGCCCCTGTGCTTCGCTGGGTTCTGGGTGTACACCATCTTCAAGGCACGACATTCTTTAGACAAAGCTACAGGCATGTTGGAGTTCTCAAGTGAGATCCTGAGAGCGCAATTCCCACTGCTACTCGTGGGTATTGCAACACTAGCTGCTGTGATACTCTGGGCGTGGATATGGATCCTCATGTTCACACGTCTATTCCTTGGCGGCCATTTTGCTAGCAACAAGTCCCGATGGATCATCGATGCTAGTACGTGGTGGCTTGGTGTTGTGTTCTTCTTGGACTTTTTCTGGGGTTTGGCGGTCATTGCGGGTGTGCAACGCGCCACGACCGCAGCCACGGTATCTCAATGGTACTTCCACCGCAACAGCGTGCCTGCACCCGCGGCTAGAACGGTGGTCCAAGCCTCTCTCAGTCACGCGACCTACACCATGGCCGGCACGATCTGTTTGTCAACACTGATCTCACTCCTGGTCCGACTTCCCCTCATCGTACTTCCAAGGCGACTGGCAGGTATGATTGGCATGTGCGCATATTCAGTCGTGCCGACGCCCATCGCTGCATTGACGAACCCGCTTACCCTGACCTACGCCTCCATCCACGGTGTGCCTCTCAATCAAGCAGCGCGCGGTCTGTCACAGATGAACTTCATCTCCGCTGCTTCGCCAACCACAACCCTCGGCCCATCCTCATTCAAGGACCATGGCCGACCATCGATTCAGTCATACCGTCTGGCGAAGTTGCTTCTCCACGCCATCCGCTGGGTCATAACATTGTCTCTCGGTTTCGGTGGATGGGTCTCGACTGCACGCATGCTCCAAGTCGGCGGGTCTGTACCATACAAAGGCAGTTTATACGCATACGTCGTGGGTCTCATCAGCGCGGCAATCGGCTGGGGCGCTCTAGGTGCAATGGAAGGAGTTCTTGGGGGTATCCTGGACGCAGTGCTTGTGTGCTGGGGTAGTGAAGTAGGAAGCGACGGGCAAGGAGAGGCTCGGTACTGTGTTGACGCCGGACGGTTGTTCGGCAATGAGGTCACTGGCCAAGGTCGAGGAAGATACGAAGTCTAGAGCATGTTTTTTGTTTGCATCATTGGCGTTTCAGCACCAGAAGAACCTGGATAACAGATACGGTTATGGCGCTTGGGTATACCTATCGTTTATCCTTTTCAAATCGCTTTTGCTATAGGCAATAGCGCTCGTATAGTTTTATCCAACTGAGATTGTCATGCAATTCATGTGTCTACGATCATCGAGGGAGGACTTTTCCATGCGCTTACAATAGTAAGTAGGCGTAGGCGTAGACATTGGTGCACGCTGATCACGTCACGGCTGGATGCGGCACGCTAGCCGGTGACGCTCAGTCCCGGCTCAAGCACAAAGCACTCCAGGGCTCCGACTTCCCTTCAACCATCAACTTTCTATTTTTTCCTACGCTCTCTACCAGAACATACGTGGTGTGGTTTTCTATTGGACTGGTTCACTTTGTCTAATACGATGATGAAGTATCAGAACTCTTGGCGCTCGGTGCTGCACCTGTGGCAAGATGTCAAAGGGACGTTGTAGCTACATCTGGGCATGTATCAAACGTTGACATAGTACACAGTACGTTCTATGGCATTTATTCGTTAAAAAAAGCGTGTAGAGACAGAAATGAGTGGTCGTCGGAGCCGCGGCAGACTGTCGCGATGCCAGGTAACTAGAGCGGCGAACAGTAGAGCTTCTTCGTACGGGTCGGTCTACTTTTGACACCTTAATGGCGACATCAGAATTACAGTCACGCGACGATCGCTACCTATACGTATGTCGAGCCTGTGGCCTCTGCGCATGTTATGTGGAGCAGTCCCTTGGTCCCACCTTGTTGACAAAGAACTCACGTCTGTGCCGGGCACTGCGTAACACTCCGTGAACCCGAGCTGACGGACGACTTTCATCGAAGGAGCCTTACGTGGAGACGTGCAGCGGCGTATCGGAATGCTAGCCCACCTCGCTCACATCGATGAGTGTTACTCCGCTAGTAGAAATGTGTTCGATGAGTCTCACGAGCTCACTTTCCCGCTGGTTAGATCTCTCGGCGTCCCAATCGCGAGATGGTGACCGATGTAGAACCCGCAAAGACTCCCTTGGCGCGGCAGTAAGTCATCGCGGACCTCGCACAGCTCATGCTGCGGATGCTGGAAGTGGTACACTCTCCGTATGACTATGAAGACCAGTGTCATCGACAAGCATATCCGCTTCGCTCCGTCATGCGATGACTGTATTGACATGTAGTTAACATGAAGAGTCATGTTCTGGGAAGGTATAAAAGGTCTCCAGGGCGGGCAGCTTTGGACTCTACAACTCTTTCACACAGCTACTCAAGCAAATAACCAAAGTCTTTTGCACATCATCTTGTTACCTATTCCGAATCTCGAGATCAACAGTCAGACCAGAAAACGACCTCCCACCATGTCGAGTCAGGAGCGCAACCAGGAGCATGCCACGAACTGGATCGTCATGAAGCAGGACCGCCGACAAAGACTCTATGGCCCTTTCAGCAACGCAGAGGAGCATCGAAACAGTGAGGCGAAGATTTTTGCCAATACAATACTAGGAGAGTATTTCGACCCTATACCCCAGGTTGCGAAACCCCGGTTGGAAAGTCAGATGGTCGACGCTGTGAATGATCTGTTTCAAATGGCGGGAGACCCCGACTTCGAACGGCCATTTCCGAAATTGCTACCTGATTCTACTCCGGATGACATCGTATTCACAGAGCAGAAAATCACTCTCAACCAAGGATTCCAGAAGGATGCCGCGGTAGCCATTAAGAAGCTCGCGGCAGGCGAGGATATGGACGAATACCGGCCTCCAAAAGAACCAAAGGCTACATACGGAGATGGATTGAGGATCTTCTACGTCAGCGTCAGAAAAGCCGAAATGCGATGGCTTGATATCGAGCTTGACGAAGACATTGCGAAAAATCCAACCAAATTCTCATCTTTTCCATTTATAATGGGCGCGAAGGCGGCCCCCAGTAAAAGATATCTTTTGAAGGACTCGAATTGGCGCTTTGACAAGTATTTCGAACAAGGCTCATTTCCCTACGAAATAGAGGGCGGCGTCCAAGTCTTCGTAGACAAAGACAAGGCTATAGAGTATGCAGAGGCGGAGGCGGGAAAGAATGCAATTCTGAATGTGGAATCTCCGAGAAGCCTGGCCGAGGAACGAGTCGTATATGAGGTACCATCTGAAGACGAGACTGCGGGGCCCTTACGAGGCCTGCCCAAGCATTTCATGCTTTACGCAGTCACCACTGCTCGTATTAACAAAACTGGAAGAGTTCCGGAATGGTGTGCGCTCTAGGCGCACTTGCGCGTACCAATCCATTACAGTAATTACACTGCTTTTGGTAGCCTTCCACATATGGTCCTACACACTACTGTTTCGGAATTGTCTTTCCTTCACGGAGTTTTGTATTATAGTTACATCGAGAACCAGACATAGTTATCCTAATATCAATCCTGTCACTGAGAAAGCGCTTGATACAGTGCGTATCAATGGTTAAACTGCTCCGCTACTTGGTCGAAGACATGTGCTTAGGTCATCGCACTTCGTATACTAGCATTTATCTACTGAAGGATTTCATTAGTAGCAAATGAGCTCTTCTTGGAGCAAAGGTCTTGATGAGGCTGTTGAACTAGGTGGACGGTATCTTCGTGTTAGGGGCATAGTCGAGATGTGCCCCGGTATGGATACAGCAAAGCGCAACGAGCTTACCTAGATGAAGCCCTGGAGATCAGATTGAAACAGATCCGTAAAGCTATACTTGCCAGGGAACGCTGCGCAATCAGCGCTTACTGATCGTGACCACCAGGAGAGCGAACAACGCTGTTATCGATATTTGGGAGGGTGTGATAAGCCTTGAGGGTGGTCGTGAATGGGGTGGAGCGGAAGGAAGTCCAAGCTGACCTCAGGAGGCACCTATGAAAGGACGCGTGGCACAACCGGTGTCGCATTGCCACCTAAGCAGTGTCATGTATCAATGAATGAATAACGTACAAGGGCTCGATCTTTTCGCGTAGAACACAATATCTCAGGAGTAGCCGTTTGTGTAAGCGGCAAATAATATGAGGCTGGCCATCATCAGCCATCTACTTGCAAATGACGTAGTGTGCCTTAATTCGGCTAGTGCGAATACTCGCAGCTTCCGATTTAACCCTGAGCGAAGGACCGCAGCAACACCAAGACCACGAAGCTCTCAGCACCTGTCTATATACTCCCTGTTTTCACTCGTTCGCGAGAGCTTTGGCTTAGTCTTCTAAGAGAGTAAAAAACGCAAAAAGTAAACTAAATGTCTAAACAAAACGTCTTATTTAATATAAGTTATTTAGCTGCTAGTCTAATTACTAGTAATATTAAATACTAAGTTCTACTATTTTAATACTAGCTGTCTACCTATCTCTTTAGCAACAAACTAATCTTAACTAGACTTTAGCTTATAGCTTAATATACTATCTTATAGTAAGAATAAGAAGAGCTAAAAAATTAATATACGCTATCTCTACCTACGTAAGTACTAGATACTTTTACATTAATCTTCTAATTACTTAGACCTTACCTTATATTATTTATATCTCTAAGTAGGTGTTACTTATAAATATTAGTATAATATACTACTTATAACTTACTCTATATACTAGTATACTTAAAAAGATACTACTAAACTACTATAAGTATAGCTATTTTAAAGAACGCGTATAAGAAATTAGCTATTAGATACTAGAGATCTAACTAGCTTTGCGCTAGAGTTTTAGAGCTATTATAAATAATAGAGATAATATTACTATTAATAAATATAAGGTTTATTATAATAGTATTCTTAATAGTTTTAGTTTTAGAGATAAAGTCTAGATAAAAGTAGTAAGATAGAATTTTGTACTACTTATAGGTATTCTAAGACCTTACTTATAGTTATTATAACTATTTAAGTTACTACTAAACTCTAGTTGTTAACTAAATTTTCTATCTATTTTATAGTACTAGACACTACCTACCTATCTAAGAAGTAATATTATAATACTAAACTACTACTTTTAACTTAAAAAAAAATAATTAGTAATTGCATATAATTTATATGACGAACGCGCAGCAAGATAAGAGCTTGGCTTATTTTGGCTGCGCGAGAGTGCGTCAACTAGTTCGTCTCTACCTTGACGTTTTCGACGTCCCAACTACACCATGAGCGAACCAAGTTTACGAACATCACGATGCGCACTCAGGACGTCACTTCCGTCGGCGCCGGCTATGCCGACAGCTATACCGACAGCATGAACAGGACTGAGTGACACCGAGTCCACACCGCACTGCACATATTCGGTAGTGAACAGTGCGTTTCATCAGGACGTTCTGTGTGCCGCTGCCATCCAGCCATGAGAAAGCTCTACTGACAAGGCTGAAGTCAACATTCAGATCTGTTTATTCGGTCACTCCGAGGTGTGGTTCATGGCCCTGACCAATGCGTGCGTACTACCGGAAAGCGGATGCCTCGGAGGTACACAACACGGTCCCGTCATGAGGACAAAGAAAACATGTCTGTGCCTGACAGCGATATGACACATCTGCTGAGTCGAATGGACACGATGAGTAATGAGCGAACCCCAGGTGGATCTTGTGCAATATACGTTGGAGTTTCCGTGAACTGGGCTTACATCGTGGACTCATCTTCATCGACTAGGCAGCTGCTTCAGCCCTGGAAGATAGCGTTCGAGAGCGCTATACACAGCGATGGCCACTGCAAAACCTACATGATGCTCTACGCTTCGTGCAACGTACCTGCGGATGACTGTGAGTCGCGATATCTAATTGAGCCGATATCCGTCATAACATGACTCCATTGCATGATCCACCAGCCACTCTGAGCGGACTCAGAGTTCTGGAAAAGTATAAAAGGCGTTGCAATTTCAGTAAGTGAAGCCCATCACGGCTCTATCACACCCCTACCGCAGACCACATTACAACATACTGCTTTATTATCACTTATCACAGTAATCTTGCAAACGAAGATTATCCTTAGATCTATCAGTTATACCCCCGAGATGTCAATTCCTGAAGTACTGCAAAAAAGCTCCAACAACTGGGTTGTTACCGAACTCGTGGGTCTACCAGGTACCAGAGTCATCCACGGGATATTCAGCAACGATCCCGATCACGCAAGTAAGGAAGCGTTACGGTTGGCTCGGCGCCTTACATCCTTCTATTACGGAGAAGAAGGTCACCGACTAGAGGCGAAAGGGGGAGCTCGATATCAGTTCCAGAAACGCGTCTCAGATCTCTGGAAACCCATATTTCGAAGCGATGGTTGGGTGACTACACTTGACCTCACGGTTGACCCTTGCACCGACGAGAAAAGTGCGGGAAATTAACTTCGACTTACCTTGAAGCTCGACGTTCAAAAGGACACCGCGGCCGCGCTGAGTGCTTTGCTCCGGAACGAGGAGATTAGCGAATGGTGGAATAAAGAGCGTAACGCCTTAGACCTCTATGTTGTTTGTTCAAGAACGATATCGCAAGAACGGGTCAAATCTCTCTTCCAGCATCTCTCAGAACCGTCCGACGGAGCCGCCCGAGAGACTCGAATGAAGTGTTATAGCGCGATGAAGTTCAACGAGCTGGACATCCCTGGTGGAATTACGACTTACTTGACCAAGGAGGAGGCCTTTAAGCACGCGAAAGAGTTCATACCTGAGGGTCTAAGCTTTAATGTCGACCCCAATCAGTTGGGAATCACACAAAACAGGGTGGTCTGTGAGATTGCACCGAGTGAGGGATCAAATGATTTGTACACTGTGATCACTATTGATTGGAGGCTCCATGGCAAAGAAGCTATGGTTGGAACCTGGACATCTTAGGGCACTGAGGCGATGTGCGTCCCATATGTATGATGGAGATATACTTGGGGTACCACCATGTATACATGTAGGGTCTCCTTCAATCTTCAATTGGCGGGTAGTGTAATGGATCTAAATGAATGAACGACTGGCATATGTTTTCAGAGCAAAGTGCTAACTGCGCTTCCAACGCATGCAAACTCCCCGCTGATTAGGACTTCTACCTCGCATAATTTGCGTATGCTTTAGTTCGCAAAGGTCGCGTAAACGTCCCCATATGCAGTGTATGTGGGATACAACATTTGCTGCTACTCAACATTAGCATGACCGATGGCTAGAAAGAAGAAGCGTTACCATTGAGTTTGAGGGACCAAGAGGTGCTCGTGTTAATCCTTGGATTAGATTAAGGCACGAAGCCTCCATCATAATGTCGAGGCTCTACATGATCATGCAAGGAGTAGCATATCCCCTTTCCCATTCTATTCTGTTTGAGATGTTATCGAATCATTTTCGCGCTGTGATGTGTGCCGAGGTACCGTGAGCTCCATTGCCACCATTAGTATATCGTAAACTGGTAAAGCATACGACAGCTTAGGATCAGAACTGTATTACTTCGACTTTCAGCTCGTCCTTACAGTCCATGTATGACTAACAGGCTGCTGTTAGTCACTGTGCATGACTCAAAGGTGCTGCGGTATAAAAGCAGAACTCCGTCTCTCTCGGTTCGTACGCATACCAAGATTCCCTCTATAATACGTACCTTCCTTGAACCCATCATACTCAGATACTGCTGCGCTACAAAGCCTCGCCCATATAACTTGCCATGTCCGGTTCCTCGGAGCATACCTAGGTATATGCTAAGTACCTACCTAGGTATTTCAGCAACGTACGGTGCTTTGCGAAGCTTGTTACGACTACCCTAAACTCTTTCTTAGTCATACATGGCAAACTGACACAGCGGCCGGGAAAGATCTGTGCGCTGTGAAAGGTATCATAGAGGCCCGTGTGTGCGTTGGTTCGTGACTGTCGAGGTTGAGTCATTGCTTCAACCACTTCACTTATAAATACCCTACGGAATTCGTTTCCAAAACTTTGAACTTGTATCTATCACACATATAAGCCCAAGGTCAACAAGCTTCATACCACCACAGAACTAGTACAGTCTTCGCGTAAAATGGCCGTCAACAAAGACCTCAACCCAGACAAGGACCTCGTTTACTTAGAAGTAACCTACACCACGAAGATCGATCTAATCGGGCCTTACTTGATCACCGACCACGGCCTCGATGCGGCACGGAAGCGCCTCTTCAAACTCTGCAAACTGAACATCGAAGGCACGAACGAAATCCTACTTGCACAGATCAGAGATGACATTAATAAATTGGAATATAACCTACAAGCTCTCAACAAGGGCCTGACTTTCAACGACGATCAACACCGCGTACTTGGTACGGTCAACAGCTTGTTGTCGTCCAGCGCTGAAGTTGTGGAACGCATCCGGGAAGGGAAAGAAAAAGGAGAGAAAGCAGATTTATACACTGTTTACTCGTGCAGCATGCACAAAAAGGATTTGATGGATTGGCAAGAATGCTTCGCACCATACAAAAAGGCCGAAGACGTGCTCATTTGGCCTTGCAAGCAGGAATCGAATGGTGTTGAAACTCGGTTGAGCGAAATTGGTGCCCAGACAGAGTCATTGTTGACAGCACGCGGCGAAATGCGGAAGCTAAGCCAAGCCGAGACAGACACAGGGAAATGGCTCAACGCCTATGAGAATACGCGACAGGTCATGATAGTTTTGAGGGTTGTCGCGAACGATGCCAAGGGATAGTTGGAAATGTTCATATTGAAGTCGAATGATAAAGCCTTTGAGTCAGCGAAGCTGTGTCATGCTGAAATGACTGCGAGAATGACACAAGCCATGACTACAAGGACTGTAACTCATGCCTAGTGACTCACTTCTTTGGTATATAAATCGAGAAGCAGAGGCTTCTCCAACCCTCACACCGACGTCGAACGTTCATACTATTATCAATATCACTATAAATATCAGTACCACGCCATAAGAGCAACGCTCAAGTCCAACGAAGCATCGCCAGATTGCACCTCCGCCATGGCCGATAACCCCGAAGCCGTGTACCACTGGGTTATGTTCTATGGTTCCAAGAACGACGGCGAGGAGCCCAACAGCAACTATGGCGCCGCGTTTGGCGGAATGTTTGGGAACTCGAATTCAGAACTGGAGTCCCTCGAACAAACTCTTCGTGCGTTCTGTGAAGAGAAAGGCCTTTCACCCAAGACCGAGATAGCAGATTTCGTGGACGAAGTCTTAATACCGTGCAATCCTGGAAACAAGTCTTACCTTGACGACGTAGAAGACAAACCACTCTTGGAGGTTCTGAAGCTAGCGCATTCTTGGGTAGCGGATGTACTGGAACAACAGACCTCTGACAAACTCTATATGGTCAGGACGATAAAGTTTGACAAAGATGGGACAGAGCCACAGGAGCGACATGAGCCACGGAAATTTCCCACCCGAACAAGCAAACGATTGAAGTTGGTAGCACCTAGGATAACTCCCGGCGACACGCTCTTCGACCTCGGGTGGAGACTGGGCACACGCGTGTATCCAGAAGAAATCAATAAATATATACAGGGAGAGCGAAAGAGACTGAAATCATACGACCAAAAAGAGCTGTGCAATCAAGATGAACTTTGGCTCCTTGCCTTCGTTAAGGGGAAGATCTTGAAGCGAATTATCGTTATGACAGAGTGGAGTCGCGACAAGAGTACCAGCAAATGGATACAGACAGACATAACGGAGATAATAAATGGTCATATTGATGAAGATATTGCGCGCAACGGACCCGACGATGAGTCGTCGGAAGAATCATCGTCGGGAGAGTTATTACCAGAAGAACCATCGCTGAAAGACTTATCGCTGGAAGACTCGTCGCTGAAAGACTTGTCGCGGGAAGACTCGTCGCGGGAAGATTCATCGCCGAGAAACTGATGGTTGGAAGACTGATGGATGGCGGACAACACTATTTCTTTGTGTCGATGTTTTACAGCGAAGTAGGGCTGACGAGCCAAAGGTGTAATGTAATGCAGAAGCTTAGGTAGTTACTAGTTGCCTTTATAGATAAGCAATAAAAATCGAGGAATAATCACTATGAGCTAGTTCTAAGAGGACGGAGGTGCTATGGGTGATGCTGCTTAAGAGGCCAGCATGTCTGCGTCATGGCTCGGTTGGTGGCTAGCGCGAGTCGATGCGTAGTGAAGCGGGACCCGATCAACACGGCTACTGCAGCCCAAACACGACTCGGCGCAGCGAACAAGCAACACCAAAGCACCCCGGGCTCCATGGAGTGCCCTGCCCGCCAACATGTCCTCCCGCAACGTGCCCACGATGAAGTCGCTGTCCGGCGCTGATCGCCGCTCCGTCAATGCCAACTACACGTCGACTGCGCGACCCCGCGTCGCTTCTGGAGAGGAACTCGACCGCCGTAGCTCCACCACCGCAGCGTCACATGCCAGAAAACAGTCAGCACCCATGCGCGCGACAGGCGCCACCTCGGGGGAGCGTCGCGTCGAGAAGAAGGAGGTGCGCGAGCGGGAGACGGAGATCAGGCGAACAAAGAGCCCGTTGAAGCATGCCAGTGAAAGCAGGGCGAATGCGCGAAGCCGCTCAGAGAAACTCCCGCGCGACGTCGACCGACCCTCACGCAGCGCCGCCTCGCAAAAGTCTATCCCCGAAGAGCCCCAGATGCCGTGGGAACCGCAGGCTTCTTTGATACCGCACACGACCGCCCCGCTGGCGACGCGCATCTCGATACCTCCGCTCGCATCCACCGCGCCTATATCGCTGCAGCCCACACCGCTCGCAAAACTATCGCTAGAAGCACAAGAGAAGGCTATATTGGAGGATCTGTTGTTTGTGTTCATGGGATTTGAGGGACAGTACATTCGATTCGGCGATGGCTATAATCCCCACGAAGAGAAGGAACGTCTGGTAGGGCCACAGTTCCGCCTGATGCCCGGCCTGGACCCTAGTCTGAGGGATCTGACCAAGTCGATGCTCAAGACTGCCACACATTACATTGCTGTCGAGACATGCGTCGAGGTGCTCAGTCGGGAAGAGTACGGTGCCGTGAACCATGCGTTGTGCGCGGCTGTACGACGGTTGCTCAAGGACTACCTCATACTCGTTGCCCAACTCGAGCACCAGCTGCTGACGAACGAGTCCTTCACTCTGCACGTCTTGAGTCTGCATACCAAGCAGACTAGCCACATGCTCTTCCAGCTCTACACCACCGGGATCGAGCTGCTGAAAGCTAACGGCATCCTGGAAGACGAGAAAGACGAAGACTCGGCCGATGATGACAGCAACGACTTCGAAAACATCTTGGAGTCGTTACGTGAAGGAGGAAACGCCGCCAAGAAGCTCTGCAAAGGTGGAAGCGTGCTCGGACTCATCACCAAGCGGCTATCGTCCATGTCGGGAGATCCAGCGGCTCGCGCACTACTGACCACACTACTACGAGAAGCTAGCAGACCGTATATGGCTATGTTGAACGAGTGGCTACATCACGGCGGCATCAAGGACCCGCACTCTGAGTTCCTGATCAAAGAGCAGAGAAGCATCAAGCGAGAAAGATTAGACCAGGATTACACAGACGAGTACTGGGAGAAGCGATACACGATACGCGATGCGCTCGTGCCTCCGCAGCTTGAAGCCGTCAAAGACAAGGTGCTCCTGGCAGGAAAATACCTCAACGTTGTAAGGGAGTGCGGAGGCGTCGACGTTAGTAAAGTCGTCCAAGACGCGCCTACCAGCTTCGACGATCCACGCTTCCTAGACAATGTCAACTCCTCATACGCATACGCAAACTCATCGCTCCTCAACCTACTTCTCACGACACACCAACTGCCGGCACGGTTACGTTCACTAAAGCACTACTTTTTCCTCGATCGCTCCGACTTCTTCACCTACTTCCTCGAGATGAGCGAGCTTGAGCTCAAGAAACCAGCAAAGCATGTTAACGTCGGCAAGCTGCAGTCGCTGTTGGATCTCGCCACTCGACATGCTGGATCAGTTGCTGTGGAGGACCCATACAAGGAGGACATCAAGGTCCAAATTAATGATACTGGACTTACGAACTGGCTCATGAAGATTGTCAACGTTCAGGGTCTTGATCAAGATGCTGCCACCGCTACACTGTCGAATTACACACCTGCGAACTCAGCGCCGATCACCGACGACACAAACATCACTGGATACCAAGCGCTAGTCTTTGACTACGCCATGCCTTTCCCACTGTCATTGGTGGTTAGCAGAGTCACACTCACTCGTTACCAACTACTTTTCCGATACCTACTGAGTTTGAAGCACCTCGAAACCGATCTAGCCAAATGCTGGGGTGAACAGGGCAAGAACGCCGCCTGGAAACACCGATCCAAAAACCCGCGTATCGAACAGTGGAAACGCCGAGCGTGGACACTGCGAGCACGCATGCTGGTCTTCGTCCAACAACTTACCTACTACTGCACATCCGAGGTGATTGAGCCCAACTGGGCATCTTTGATGTCGCGGATAAGCGAGGAGAAGAAGCAGGATGCAAGGGCCAAGGGCAAGGCAACGGAGGATGAGAGCGGTGGGCCTCAAGTGAAGCGCACCGTGGATGAGCTGATGCAAGACCATGTTGACTTCCTTGCAACTTGCTTGAAGGAATGCATGCTTACTAACAGTAAGCTGCTTCGAGTAAGTCAAACCACACTTTTACAGCCTGTGCGGCTGCTAATTACCCTCAGATCAACAACAAAATCATGTCAACATGCAGCATGTTCGCATCCTTCACCTACTCTCTCTCCCGCTACCTCGTCACCGGCGATCCCGACCTAGTCGCCCAAGTCAATGCCTCTTTCGCTCCTCCTCCCACCAAGAACCCCAAGAACCCCGCTGCTACACTAGTCGCCTCTACCCATCGACCCACAACGCAGTTCGTATACGACCCCCAGCGCGTCGACAAAATGTTCGACATGCTAGCCAAGTACGAGGAGAACTTCACCCGGCATCTTAAGATCCTGCTGGATACACTGAACTACCTCGCTGCCACCGAGACAGTAGTCTTCTTGAGTCTTTGTGCGAGATTGACGAGTGCTGGAGAGGGTTTGAGTGGCTTCCAGGTACCCATGGGTATGGAGGGTATTGCTTAGTAGGCTTCGGCCTTGTGGGCATCAGGCGTTGTTTCATGCATTGCATTATTCTGGGTTATTGGTATGGGTTATGGATTCAGTCTGCGAGGCGCCAAGCGAGCGATACCATAGTTGTTTGGAATGAGACGCAACGAATTACGGCCATAAGGTTCTTCAGTCTTGATAAGTGCGGCATCACATGGCATGTTTGGTGTATGAACGAGGCATTTGCTTATATTCGAAGTAATTGGCACTGCCTACTTTACATGGACGCTTCTAGTACGTCTTGAATGGGCACCCCTTATCAGCGCTCGAACTTTTAGTCTTCTCCTTGACCAACTTGCAAGTAAATTCCATCAACTGCTCGCCCAGCTTCTCGTTGTTCGCTAAGTCACTACCCGGCTCCCGTATCGCAGGTGGGCAGATGTACTCGCCAGTACCCTCTGTCTTAGTCGCCGCATACATGGTGCTTACGCAACCCTCAAACTGCGTCTTCTTGAACGGCGCCATACCAACGCTCATCGCGTAGCCGCCCAACGGGTAGGGCTCGTGAATCATGTCGACCGACTGCCGTGTCTCGACGAAACCGGGGTGTGTGGCGTTGGACAAGATGTTGGGGTGCGAAGTAGAGAGATGACGAGACAGGTAGCGTGCGTATAGGATGGAAGCGAGCTTTGTGCGGCCGTATTGTCCCATAGCGCCGAGGTCTTGGTTGAGTTCCTCGAGAGACTCAAACTTGACGTCCTTGGGTGCGCTCTCGTGCGCGTTGGATCCAAGCTGTACAAGGCGGACCTTGTTGCCCTTGTCTGCTGTGGACTTGATCAAAGGCAGCAGGTGGGAGGTCAGGACTACATGACCCATGTGGTTGATAGCCATGTGTAGATCGACACCGTTCTTGGCGAGTTGGTATGTCATGATACCTCTCGCAGCGTTGTTGATCAGGATATCGATCCGGTCTGTCTTCTTGGCAATCTCGAAAGCGACTTTGCCAGTAGCTTCCCAGTCCGAGAGATCGCACTTCATCCATTCGACTCTGCTGGCCTTGTCCTCGCCCATCTCTTCCTTGATGGCTTTGAGTGCATCGTCGATGATGTCTTCGCTCATGGAGATGATGAAGAGCTTCTTGATGTTGTGTGAGAGAAGGGTGTGTGTGCATCCGTAACCAATTCCTTCTGAGCCACCAGTTACAACGGCGACCTTACCGCTGAGATCTGGCACTTCCTCAAGTGAGAATCGCTGGTCCTCGGGCGCGAGATCATGGGCGCCAGAGACGACCTTGCCGAGGTTCTCGGCAATGGCGTTCTTTACTGACTGCATAGTGGAGGAGGTTTCGACTGGGCCTTTGAAGCGGTCGTTATTGTTCGGGGGAGTTGACGAATAAGCTCTGGAAGTAGTAGAAGTGATCCTGGCAGCGGGCACGCGTGGTAAAGATGATGTAGATATAAAAGATGACTTGCAGCAACGCAGGGAGACGGCACCTCTAAATAACTTAGTAGACTGCATGGTTACAGCATGTGTCACAGGACAGCAGCAACCATCGTATTAGCACAAGATCTGAGGTCATGGTATACTGTGACGAGCCGCCTTCCGCGGAGCGAAAGCAGCCAATGCCATTTTGTCTTGATGTCAGCACTTTTTCCTTTTGGCGCGTTCCTGGATGCTGTGGAGCGCGCATCGGGAGCGGATCGTTGATGATCTCGTCATGACGCGTTGATGGACGCCTGCATGGCCTGCGTGTTGGCGAGGCTGGAGGTCTGGAACTATGACGTGTTGGGCATAGTGGGGCGGCTGTTATCGATAACGGCGCGACTTCCGAGG